TACCTAAAATATCACTTTTTCTGAGGCACAAAAACTGGTTAAGAGATCCGACCTTCCAGAGAGTTATGCTGCAGTAGTCAAAACACCATCTGAGTCTAGCTCTAAAATAACAAAATCATCCACTAGCTGCCAAACAACCTTGACTTGGGTCAAAGGGGACTCTCCACAGAATTTGTACCCTGCGATATCATCTCAGACTGAGGAATCAATTCCTGGTACGTCAAAATCTTCTTCTGATCACAAATCATCCTCTCAATCACGCTCACTCACTCAATCATCATCTGACAATCTACAAATTGTTCAAAGTAAAGGTAAGCCTAAGACTGATGCTAACAAGAAACAAAGTGGCAGAGCTCCAAAGGGGTCGCAAAATAAAATTCAGTTGTTCAACAAATATGGATCTCTTGAGGACATGGACGTATCTGAAAACGTCCATTCTAGGGCACATAGCTTGTCGCCCTCAAAACAAGTGCGGGGTAGATCCCCAATAAATCCCCCCAAAAGATAATGTCTTCTATCTTGTACAGTGGAACTGCAGAGGGCTAAGGAATAATTTCAATGATTTGCAGCTATTGGTCCAGGACTTCACACCATCGGCCATTTGTCTCCAGGAGACATATTTAAAACAGACGGATACATTTGATTTAGGTCATTTCAATGCATACCATTCTTTTTCAACCCCAGGTGATCGGGCCACTGGAGGATCTTCGATCCTTATCAAACAAAATGTTATCCATAGCCCTGTTATACTTAATACCGGTCTCCAGGCGGTTGTCGTACGACTGACGTTACATGTTGCGTTCACATTATGCTCTTTGTACATCTCACCGTCTTCAACTCTTCAGAAGACTGACCTTCAAAATTTCTATGACCAACTCCCAAAACCTTGTATCATTATGGGATATGTAAATGGCCACAACCCGCTCTGGGGTGGTACAACAACTAATGCTAAAGGTAAACTATTAGAAGAGTTTTGTTCAGACAATGATTTATGCATATATAATGACGGTTCTAGCACATATTTACATCCTGGCACAGGAACTTATTCAGCTCTTGATTTATCAATTACTGACTCAGACTTATTGAATGAATTTGAGTGGTCAGTCCACGACGACCTGTGTGGAAGTGACCATTTCCCAACAATTCTCAAACCCGTGAATCCATCTGATGTTCCTCCATCATCAAGATGGAACCTTAAGAAGGCTAACTGGCCTTTATATGAAACTTTCTGTGCTGACAAACTCAAACCTGAACTTTTTCATGATCTTCCTGATGCTATCAAATGTTTTTCAGATGAGCTCAGACACATAGCTGACAAGTGTATCCCCACATCCTCTGCAGTTCCTCATGTACGTAAACCATGGTTTAACGCTGACTGCAAACAAGCTCGCAAGGTACGGAAGAAAGCTGAACATTATTTCCGTTGCCATCCTATGGTCCACAATTTAAACAAATTTAGAATTTTAAATGCTAAAGCACGGCGTACTGTTAAACAAAGTAAACGCCAATCTTGGCGAAACTATGTCTCAAACATCAATTCGCGCACGCCTATATCAAAGGTGTGGAACATGATCCAGAAAATAAAAGGTAAGGGCTCTAAATCTAGCGTTAAGCGTCTCAAAGATGGAGATGAATGATTAACTGATAAATCTGACATAGCAAATAAACTTGGAGAAACTTTGGCCAAACATTCTTCCTCATCTAACTATGTACCTGAATTCCAGTAATATCAAAAACAGCAAGAAAAGAAACCTATTAATTTCAATTCAGACAATGGGGAAGACTACAATAAAACCTTTTCGATACATGAGCTTCATACTGCTCTTGACCAAGCTCACGATACTGCTTCAGGAGCTGATGGTATACATTATCAACTCCTGAAACACTTACCTGAATCATGTTTAGAGACGCTCTTGTCTATTTTTGATGACATTTGGACATCTGGACAATTTCCTTCGTCGTGGCGTGATGCTATAATTGTGCCCATCCCTAAACCTGGACGTGATCATACTGATCCTTCCAATTATAGGCCAATTTCACTAACTAGCTATGTTTGCAAGACCATGGAACGCATGATAAACAATCGACTTGTTTGGTACTTGGAAACCAATAACCTTCTAACTAATATACAATGTGGTTTCCGTAAAAAACGTTGTACCATCGATCATTTAGTGCGCTTAGAATCTTTTGTGAAAAATGCCATAATTAATAGACAGCATGCAGTGTCGATCTTTTTCGATGTAGAAAAAGCATACGACACAACATGGAAACATGGGATTTTAAAAGATTTACATGACTTTGGATTACGAGGCGTTTGCCTCACTTTATATCCAACTTTGTACATGACAGGCAATTTCAAGTCCGAGTGGGTTCAACCCTGTCTGACCATTACAATCAGGATCAGGGTGTCCCACAAGGCAGTCTTTTGTCTGTAACATTGTTTAGTATCAAGATCAACAGTTTATCAAAGGTTTTAAATGATTCAATTGATGGATCACTTTTTGTGGATGATTTTAATATTTCTTGTCGCGGTAAGAATATGCATACTATTGAACGGCAAATGCAGCTGTGTTTGAATAGAATACATAAATGGCTTAAAATTTTCTAAATCCAAAACTAATTGTATACATTTTTGTAGAAAATATAAACCGCATAAAGACCCGGAACTGTTCCTCAATGGCACTCCCATCAAAGTTGTAAAGGAGGCCAAGTTCTTGGGTTTAATTTTTGACTCGCATCTAACTTTTCTTCCCCATATCAAGTCCCTAAAAACTAAATTCTTGAAGGCACTTGACTTGTTGAAAGTCGTTTCCAATTCAAAGTGGGGAGGGGATCAAGCTACCCTCCTACAATTATATCGATCATTGCTACGCTCCAAACTTGATTATGGCTCCATCGTGTATGGTGGAGCCTGCAACAGTAATCTAAAACTATTAGATTCTGTCCACCACCAAGGCCTAAGACTATGTCTTGGTTCCTTTAGAACTTCACCTGTTGACAGCCTCTACGTCGAGGCTGATGAGCCATCTCTTACACAACGCCGTATAAAATTAACATTACAGTATATTACAAAACTTTATTCCAATGAGTCAAACCCTGCATATAACTGTGTCTTTAATCCACTATATGAAGATCTGTACAACAAGAAGCCTTCTCTTGTTCCGCCTCTTGGTATAAGAGTGAAACCGTTCCTTTCTGCTGCTGGGATTGAGTTAGAACATATAGCTCTTTCCCGTCTTCTTTCTTCTTCTCCTTGGCAACTGGTGAGGCCTGAAGTTGACCTAACTCTGACACAGTTTAAAAAATCGGAAACTAATGAATTACAGTATAAACAAGAATATAATCAATTAAAAATGAAATATACTACATACAAATCCTTATTTACAGATGGGTCAAAGGACGGTGGCGCAGTGGCATGTGCCACTGTTATTGGGTCCAGAACAATATCTTCTAGAATACCTGATAACAGCTCTATGTTTACAGCAGAAGCAAACGCCATCTTAACAGCTCTTAAATATATTCAAAGACATCCCAAACATTAACAATATATAATATTTTCTGATTCTCTTTCTTGCCTTCAGGCTATTAAAAATCTCTCTTGCAAGCATCCACTTTTAATTGAAATAATCGAATTATATAAATGATCTTGCTACTGGCCAATGCGACATCGTCTTCTGTTGGTTACCCAGCCACGTTGGCATTTCTGGGAATACAATGGTCGATCTTGCTGCCAAGGCAGCACTCAACACATCTGTGATACCACTTCTTATTCCTTACTCTGATTACAAAGCTTGCATTAGAACTTACATCCGTGATCTGATGCAGAAGAAGTGGGGCACCCAAGTAGGTATCAATAAATTACATGAAATAAAACCCTATATTGGTTATACTTACTTGGGTTGTCAGTCCAGATTTGAAGAGGTCATCATACGACGATGTCGTATTGGCCACACAAGATATACTCATGAATACCTATTGAAAGGTGAGGATCCTCCATTTTGTATCCCTTGTGATGAAAGAATCACGGTCAAGCATGTCTTGCTTGACTGTGTTGAGTATTCCATCAGAAGGGATAAATATTTTAAATCACGAACTATGAAGGATCTTTTTAATAGTATCAGTTCTTATTTAATTATTGCCTTTTTAAAAGATTTAGATTTGTTAAATGATTTGTAAATACATAACTATTTTATGATTGGAAGTTTGAATTAGTAACTAAGATTGTTAGTGGCTGTATCCTCGAGGGGGGTTAAAGTCCTGTAAAATTATTGTCCTCCTGAGAGGGTATGTAAGTCCCAAAACATTCGAAGTAAATTAACACATTCCACTTTTTAATTTTAGAATACCTGTTCTTTCAATGTATGGCTAGATTTGCTAAATTGCTAACGACTAAAGGGATGGTGTAAATCCAGCTAGGGTCCATGCAGGAAGCAAATGTACTGTAAGTCCCCATGGTCCCTAGTATGGTGATCTACCTTCAGTTGTTGGTGATCTATTGCCCATTTTTATATTGTGTTGTCCCCTATAGTTAACATGTTTTAGATTCAATTACTAGTTTTACATATATATCTGTGATACTCTAGTTGTGTCCTTCGTCGGCAGGTTTTATAATCTCTATATATATGCTATTTCAATGTCAAGTGTTCTCGTCACGATATGGCTGAAATATTGCCGATGTGACGTTAAATAATAACTCACTCACTCACTATACTACACTGCACTATGTTACATTGTATAGAATACTGTACCATACTATACTGTACTGTACTATACTACACTGCACTATGTTACACTAAACTGCACTGTACTATACTGTGCTATACATCAAACAGTATCAAATATTGTTCCCAGTATCCTACCCGGGGTCAGTCCGTAGTGGTTTCAGTACCCACTTAGAGATATTCATTTGAAATGGGAATATCAGGAAGTGAAACTAAATTTTCGCACGTATTCACGGCAAATCACTACAAGAGCTGAACTCTCTCAGTGTTAACTCAGCAAGCTGGTGACTATGTTCTACAATGTGGCTGCAGGAATGTACTTGTGTGGTAGGTATCTGTCTTTGGCTGTTTCCACGAGTCATGTGTGTGTGTGTGTGTGTGTGTGTGTGTGTGTGTGTGTGTGTGTGTGTGTGTGTGTGTGTGTGTGTGTGTGTGTGTGTGTGCGCGTAATGTAGTACAATGTCTATGATACAATGTGTTGTGTTTAGCCTTAGAAACTGTCCGCGACCAACGTTGCTTAAATTCAACTGATTTGCCACCTGCGCTATGTGCATAGGCCCACACACCACCATATCTAGATATTATTAAGACCAATATACATGTACCTAGCTCTAACCTTTAGATCAATCAGCGCATGGTCACAGACGTCTTATATATACGCATCAGTATCCGAGGCCATGTTAGGTACAGAGGCACATCTTACTGCACAGATGGCACGTGTCACAAATACACGCGAAGGCACGTGAATTCTTCACCTACACAAAACACACTGCACAAGTAAAATTACAAATATTGTGTTGTGCCATCATTGTTCACGTGACCACTAATTGGTCACCAGTAATGACCTTATACACCGTTTATGTAATATCATAAATATATCTATTTATTATGATGTGACACTCGTGTACGTGACACACCCACAATAATAAAGACTTAAAGGCCTGGTCTGTCACTAACCAGCATTGGTGGTATGTAATTGTTCATTGAAATATTAACACAAAATATTACATAACACATCATTAACAACTATATATTTGCTGAACTTTAACGGTGTTGTGTCAGATGTTATTGAGTGTGCAATATATTGTACAAATCAAATGTTTTGTGTGTGCAGTATTGTGTAGAAGAAAATTGACAATAATATTTTATTTGCAGGTCTCGTGTCTGCCACGACAGCATCTGATTACATCGTTGCACGTGTTGGTCATAATGTGACCATCTCCCTCAACACGTCCGAGGCTGGACAAGAGTATAAAGTCGGCGTGTTAGTTAATAATGTTTCGGGATATCTCTTTTTAAAAACTGACACTGAGCTTAACATTGTGAACACCAGCCATACATGGTACAGAAACAGAGACATCCAAGTGAACACCACCCCATCAGAGTTCAGGTTTACACTGTATAATGTCACCACAGAGGACGCAGGGCTCTACGAATGTCGGACGTTTGACGAAAACAAGGGGATACCTGGCTGTGGACAGCTTCTCGTTGTGGCACGTGAGTGAGAATTGGATACGGTATCTGTATAATATGTTAATTCCACTTTCAGGAATCACTGAAAACCTACTAATGGGTCTAGCTTGATGTAGAGACAGCCCATTGTGATGTATGTCTCAAATGGTACCTCATTGGTGAAACCCACAAGGTATATGTTTGACAAACGAATTTGGAGCGACCCTGCGGACTCTAACGTGGCCTAGGCACATCCTGAACAGTGCATAGCGCCTCATCAGACCACTTGCCCAATTGTTTATCACACTTAGATAGCGTTTTAAAATATGAATATCCGTTATCTGTAACCCATACATGTGGAATGTGGATACGAATAACGATAAGGGAAATAGTGTGCTTTAAACGGGAGTTCTTTTTGTATAAGAACAATTACTGCCTATATATGCATGTATTGGGGAATTATTAGCCACAGAACAATAAGGTGTCTGTTTCAACATTAGCATGCGTTTCCACGTAGAAATACCGCCACATTCTATAAACGGCACAGAGCTTATGTAGCTAGTGATAAATCTTGACCAAATATCAAACGTTATGAATTTGGAAGACAAATAGTTCAATTTTGTTTAGTAAACGTCAATCAGTTATCGTAAATGATCATGACATCTGGCTACTTTTGCGAAAAATATGTGTTCATAACATAAGGAAGTATTAATCAACTCATATGAAATGCGTTGGATGTTAATCAGTTTTTAGAACTACACGTGTCTGACCTGTGTCACGTTGAAGACACATAGACTGTGATGATGAGGTATCGTTATACAACTGACTGTCTCGTGATCAACATGGTTATGTGGAGCAAGGCGCCTTTGTGAAAGTTATAAGGTCCATTAACTCCCACTATGTGTACTCTACTCTACAAAACACCATCTTCTCCAGATGGGCAGAGTCCATCGCCCGTGTAATGTTATAACAGCTGTATTGTAATTAACCACATGTTTCACAACTATTATACTGGTTATTAGGTCATTGATGATAAGTAGTTTGGACTACTACAGTGATTCGAAAAATCATTGTAAAACATTATTTATGAGCACTCGTGTTGTTGTCCGAGTACTGTGGTTTAACATGTAAAACTAACAATTCTTTTTGAGAAACAATACACCTACACTTACAGGACCTGCCTCACTTGTACTGGAACCATTACATTATATCCAGTTAAATATGATTTAACGACAACTTTGCCGAGAGACACGTCACGGTGTGCCACTGCTTGAAACCTTTTATTGTTATTGGATTTTATGTTTTCTTTTTTTTTTCTAAAATCAGAATAGAGTTAGTTGTCCTGACTGGACCTGTCACACTGTATCATTTACTCGAGAACACTCCCACATCTGGATCATCTACCCAGGGTAAATGCCGATGTTATCTGTCATTACAGAGAAACCTTCACAACCGAAGATCACTGGACCTGCATCAGCTGACTCAGGTGGGCGTGTCACCCTGACATGCTCCTCCTCCTCCCGGAGTCTCCCCCCGGACCACCCCCCTCTGACCATGACCTACATCTGGAGGAGGAACAGTGAGAAGATTCAAGAAGGGAAAGACGTTCATGTAGCCGGGCCGAACCTCATTATGAGACACATCAGCAAGGCGGAAGACGGCAACTACAGCTGTCAGGCTGTGGAGGAGGGGCTGGAGTCTGACTGGAGTCACGGACACGACCTGGATGTTCAGTGTGAGTGAATCCGTGATCTGTGTTGTCCACCTTCAGCAGAATAGGTCAACACTGTGCCTTTAAACACTGTTCCATACTGATGTACTTACTATCTTGTTACCTACACGACCGAATGCAGTATTTATTTATTTATTTATTTATTTATTTATTTATTTATTTATTTATTTATTTATTTATTTATTTATTTATTTATTTGTTTATTTATTTATTTATTTATTTATTTATTTATTTATTTATTTATTTATTTATTTATTTATTTATTTATTTATTATTTTTATTTTTTTTATTTTTTTTTTTTTTTTTAAATATTTTTTTGTGTAAATTTATTTAGTTGTAAGTATCAGTAAGTATCAATTTCTATTCACCAGGTACCATCGATATTTGTAAAATATGAGTGGCTGTTGTTGACTAAAGATTGATTGTAGATTCTGATGTCAGTGTGACTAAACAATTTCGGGTTTTATCTTCAAGATGTAATAACAGTTTGGATGAGAATATCGACAGCAAGCTCACTTATCGGATTGTCAAATTATTGGTTACACGTTCGTATTGTTCAGATGGACCAGAGCAGATCCTGTTCAATGGAACAACCAGCACAGTGACTGCTGCAGCAGGTGCCCCTCTCACAGTGAGATGTTCCGCTGACTGTAACCCTGCCTGCACTGTAACCTGGTGGAACACATCCAGACACAGGCTGGTTACAGGACACAGGGAGGCTGTGTTGTCTACGCCAGCTGTTGACAGATCGGGACAGTACATCTGTCATGTCTACAACACACATGGGAATAAGTCGAGGAATCTGAAGCTTGATAAACCAAGTAACATACATATCATATCATATCATATCTAATATATTTCCCTGCTGGCCGTTCGGCGTGCACGTCTCGATATAAGAGCACTAATCTTTCACCCATTCCAACTCACCTCATATCTTGTATTTCATGTTTACATCCCGATGTTAAATTTCTTTTAGGAATTGTATTCTTAGCGTAAGCTTACTGTTTGGGAATCATTAGCGTCTATCTGGATATCAAATGTAATATTACATTCAGAGTGTCATGTGTCCATTGCCCGAACAAACAGGGTCAGAAATTCGAACTAAGTAGTACTGGGTTTGACGAGTTGTTATGAAGACTTGCTGAGCGTTCATTCGCTGGTGTCAATTTTAACGTTAATTACGTATTATTAATTCTTTTATTGTGTTCACAAGATTAATATTTGAGACCTTGTGCTGATGTAACCCAAATTTCCTTCGAGATAAGATAGCTTGTGTCATATTGTAATGGCGTAGAGATGGATTTTTTGTTAGCATAATTGTAAAAAATGCCTTTGATGAGGAACAGTGCAAACTTCATACTACCTTACTTATAGTGACTGAGTTTAGTTTTATGCCGCTTTTGGTAGTATTCAAACAACATCACGGCGGGTTACACCAACCGTACATGTTACTCAGTTACCCTACAATAGTGAAATTCCAACACATGTTTCTGACATGATACATCCATCACTGTCTCCAGATGGAGTCGTGTCCATGTCGTCCCTCCTGGTCCTGGTGGTGGTGGTGGTTGTGGTTGTGGTGTTGGTGGTCTGTGGGATACGTGGATGCAGGAGACTGAGAGGTAGGAAGTTGTAGTGAGTGAGTGAGTTACAATCACCTCGGCAATATTTCAGCAATGAGTTATGATAAATATATTTGATATTTGTCACACAGGACAATCATATACACAATATTAGGACAATAGTATCACAATTTATGTCTAAAAACTAACCATTTCAAATAATGCAATATTCTATTTTACACAAATGTTACATATTACATTCTACTACTTTAAAATACGGCCTGTAGATCACCAGCAACTGATCACCATACTAGGGGGGGAAGTTTGAACTCAGGACCGACAGGGCAGTGGCCGTTAGACGACGAGGAAGGACTAACAGAAATAAGAATAACACTGATTCTCGCGTAATGTACAGGCTGGATTGTGCACTACTAGATTTCCCGTAATAGAATCTTCCTTCTTCCTTCCTTTAATCTTCCTTCTCTATTTTTCAGCAAAACGGAAATTAAGGTAAGAAACAAATGAAAACCTGACTGGTACGAATGCACCCTTTTGAAGGATCAACCGATCCCTGCAAACGTCGTGCAACTTGCATATAAAAGTGAGTGAGTGAGTTTGGGTTATCTCTACGTTTTAGCAGTATTCCAGCAATATCACGGCGGGGGGACACTAGAAATGGCTTCCACACATTGTCCCCATGTGGTGAATCGAACCCGGGTCTTCGGCATGACGATCTAACGCTTTAACCACTAGGCTACCCCACCGCCCCACATGCATGTGGAAGTTCTACGTTATTGGTCTGTCATTTTGATAATATAGCATTCAAACTTGCATGTTGTTGAAGAAAACAGAGTTGATAAAGTGTTCAGATGTTTAAATCCTTTGACACACACCAACACATAATATTTCATTAAGATATACACACATACACACTGATTTCACACACACAATATCACACACAAACTGTTTTCACATACACGTGCCCATTCTGCTTTAACTCGCACACACTTTATTTTCACACACACACACACACACACACACACACACACTGTTTTCACACACATGCTGCTTTCAGGCACACATACACACAGTTATTTCACACTACTTTCACACACTGATACACACACAGAAACACGCACGTGTGCTGCAAAGATGGAAATAAGTGCTCTAGTCATTGTCATCTTCAAGAAATATCAAGTGAAAAATAAGTAATGTTTCAATTTCAGTTTTAATGTTGGATCTTTTAAATACCTAAATGTTTGGATGTGTTACACTGTATCAAGATACTGTTTTGTCAGAAAAAAACATGTTATGATGTCTCACATTTGGATTATGTTTTAGTCCCTGCCCATTCCCTGGCAAATGACTGAAAATTTCTGTCATTTCGTGAAATGACTAAGAGGATCAGCCATTTCGCTATTGGCTATATAAATAGGTTTGGACGCCTCCATCAAGTTTGATGTAAATGTGCTTGATAACGATTGCCAATGTTCGTGATGCCCGAAACAAATCGCCCAAACTCTCAGAAACATGAAACACATGTCATTTATATAGTGCGTAAATTTGGTATAAGTGGCCTGTCCAACACTGCAATATCGCTGCACATAGTCACACAGAGAGAATGCCAATGTTAACCCAGGAAGAAAGAGAACGAGCAGTAGGGATAGTTAAATGGCTGACCCTCTTAGTTATTTCATGAAATGACTGATTTGACAATCTGACAGTAACATATGTCTGTCTGTCTGTCTGTCTGTCTGTCTGTCTGTCTGTCTGTCTGTATGTATGTATGTATGTATCTATCTATCTATCTATCTATCTATCTATCTATCTATCTATCTATCTATCTAATCAGGGTACGTATGTCGTCTCCAGGTATGCTGCCCACCTGACTGCACTGAACAACAGAGCCAGCAGCGAGTCCCCCTACGCTACAGTCCACGACGAGGGTGCCAGGGTGTCCTACTCAAACATGAGGTACCCATGACCTATATCTACCACAGAAATACAATTAATATATCGTACAAATATATGAACAATGGGACATTATTTCATTTAGGACTGGGCTCAATAACGTTAATCTATGAATGAAAATATGACATAATAATCAAAGACTAATAAATCTTTCAAGTTTCTCACTATTGCGAAAATATTCATCTAGCAAATGTTACAATATAAATACTTTAATGATTTTTTTATGCACCCATAAGTGTTACCTTCTTGGCTGAAACAAAAACAAACATGGTCACATCAACAGAGAATCTTCTGCTTCAAGCGAGCAGCACAATGCTACAGCTAATGACGAGGGTGCCAGCTTGCCGTTGCCAAGGTCTGATGATACAGCTGACTATGTGTCTCTCGGGCAGGAAGAACACGTCCACATCTACACGGCTCTGCGCCCCAAAGTTAGGCAGCAGGTGGGGGGTGGGAGAAGGAAGGCTGACACAGCGGGAGGATCACCACAAGCCGGGATAACACCTCCTCATCACTGTATCCTCAACTCTCACAGGGCATGTCCTATGTGAAACATCCAGAGAAGGAACACGTTACAGACACTCGAGCACGAGTCAAGTCAACAGCTTTTGTTACTAAGTCCCTGTATTGATGTAGATCTGAACGTTACTATGTCCCTGTCTTGATGTAGATCTGAACTTACTATGTCCCTGTCTTGATGTAGTCTGAACTTACTATGTCCCTGTCTTGATAGATCTGAGATCTGAACGTTACTACTGTCCCTGTCTTGATGTAGATCTGAACGTTAGTCCCTCATCTGAACGTTACTATGTCCCTGTCTTGATGTAGATCTGTCCCTGTCTTGATGTAGATCTGTTACTATGTCCCTGTCTTGATGTAGATCTGAACGTTACTATGTCCCTGTCTTGATGTAGATCTGAACGTTACTATGTCCCTGTCTTGATGTAGATCTGAACGTTACTATGTCCCTGTCTTGATGTAGATCTGAACGTTACTATGTCCCTTGATGTAGATCTGAACGTTACTATGTCCCTGTCTTGATGTAGATCTGAACGTTACTATGTCCCTGTCTTGATGTAGATCTGAACGTTACTATGTCCCTGTCTTGATGTAGATCTGAACGTTACTATGTCCCTGTCTTGATGTAGATCTGAACGTTACTATGTCCCTGTCTTGATGTAGGTCTGAACGCATTGGGACAAGACTCAGACAAATCACATTTCAAATCACTCACAATACGAACTCTTCTGTGTATGGCTAAGAGCTTTCATACATAAAGATTTGAATTGACAAGTCATACAGATTTGTTATACCTTTGGTATGGTCAGATCGAGTCTACTGTATATATTAACTGACCAATGTACTATTAGCGCTGCTAGCTTGTAAAAACTACTTAGAGGTAGGCTGTCTACGTCTTTGCTTACTTCAAGCCTTAGTCCTGTAGAATGGTCTTCACTTAATAAATCCTTTAAATTGAATTGTCTATTTTGTCAGTGTGGTTTAAAGCAATAATTATGTCTTCACTTGACTTTCACGTGTGTGTGATATTACTACCATTACTTCTCTATGGGACAGGCGCTACTCTAACCCAGGGGGAGTAATCGTTGCACCACCAAACGCATCAACCGTACCGTTTGACGAAGTTGGTGCATTTTTCCACTGAGTGTTATAATCGCTTTAACACACACACACACGCACGTACGCACACACGCACGTACGCACACAACAAAGGCACATACACACAGATTAAGTGCACTTTTCTCAGTGTTGTAATTGCCACAATACATGCATGCTCGCGCGCGCACACACACACACACACACACACACAAATATATATAAAACACACACACACCGGCACACAAGCACACAGAGTAACAGAGTCACTCAGACAGACACACACGCACAAACACAGGCATGCACACACGAACATAATCTTAAACACGAAATGGTCACATTTATTACCACATAATCATATTTTGTGTGTTGTGCTGTAAATACCTACCTGTTGAGTGGCAGGTGCTATAGCTACCTAGCGCGGGGCCCTTTTCGCGAACACCTGGTGTCTTCCCAGAATTACATTTGTACATTCCATGATTTCTACAGCTATTTTCCTCCTGACATCAAATGGAATAAGTTTCTAATGATAGTTAAGACTGCTGGTATTCCTTTGTGCTGAAGATTTATATTAGTTAAACACTTCACCCACGTCATTCCGCTGCTCGCCCTCGTGATATTACTGCACAATGACAAATATTGATCCTTTTCATCGGCTTTGATGTAAACCATCGGTTTGGTGGATATTTGAAATCAACGTTGACTTATGTTTCAATCATATCATTTTAATGTCACTGCTTTCCTTAATTGTTATTAAGCTCATGATATATACACGTGAAACCATGTTGAAATTCGAAACACATCAGTTTAAATGTTGAAGTTCGTTGTGTTTTCAATATTTTATACCATTATCTGTATATTTTTCTATCAACTGCTTACTCGTTCATGGTTGTCTTTGAATAATTTCTTTCTCAGATCCATTAATAATCAAACGCAAATTGGCTTCCAATACTTCATCCCTGTTCCCACGTACAGATATAGCAGTGGTCTTAATGTCTTAACACACATCTAAACACTGAAACATAACCCATAGTGACAACTTTATTTATGAACAAAAGTTATCTGTTTCGTCCTTGGTGCGCTACATTATTGCCTGCAGTTTCATGATTTTGGTTTATTTAGGTTCACGTTATATCCTAATGGCAATCTGACTGTCTCAGAAACCGACTGGAGTCAACAGGAGTGAGTCAGTCAGTCAGTGAGTCAGTCGGTCAGTCAGTAAGAACCTATAGCCACGATGGCAATGTTTCAGCTATATATATATCGTGACTAAAGCAAGTTAAAGATCCATGATAAATACAGTTAAAGTATATAACCCTGGGTACGAAGGACAGTAAAATAACGAGATTATCACAGATAATTTAAAACTATCATTTAACTTTGAAATTAAACCACTGTACTGTATGAAATAAAACTCCCTGCACTTTAAGTGAGTGAGTTTAGTTTTACGCAATATCACGACGGGGGACACCAGAAATGGGCTTCACACATTGTACCCATGTGGGGGATCGAACCCAGGCCTTCGGCGTGACGAACAAACGCTTTAACCACTAGGCTACCCCCACAGCCCGAGCAAACTTTGGAAACATCAATTCAATTGTTTCATGTGTGCTATACTGAACCTCCATAACTGAACCTAATATCATCTACATGTATTTCCTGTTTAATGTCGTAAGAGTCACCCTATAGAAACATGATGATACCTTACCTACTCAACGTGAATATTTGATAAATACCAAGGTTTAAACGTACAAATACCAAGACATACACAGAGAAACAGATGTATGATATTTGACTAGAATGTATTGTGTCTTGGCAAGTGGTTTGACGAGTTGTTCATGTCGGTAGGTTTTGTATTTCTCCTTCTGTCAATTAATACTTCATATGTCTTAATAATACGTCTTATATACTGACAATAATTATTATTTATGCAAACACAAGAGTCTGACGTTTAAACATATCAATCACCATCACACATCAGCAGCTCTAGGGATGATCAGCTGGGAACTGTAAGTGGCATTGTGTATGTACAGCGATGTGCTCGGTCCTTGTGCTGACGTGGTACTGGCTCGGGGCTCAGGTTATGGGACACGTGGCTACAGGACTAAAGTGGCTACAGGAAACGTAGTTTCGGGACACGTGGATGCAGGTGTGTTCCTCACCAAGGTTGTCCCTTCCTCCCTCATGTGTCACACTTTGTGTCTGTACACCTCCAGGTGCGTCTCCACCAACTGGGAAACTGCCACCAGAAGATGTCACCTGAGTGACCAAGGAACCTCTGATGGACGAGATCTGTTTTCCAACTTTCAGGTATTGTTTGGTACATGTGAAAACAATTTGGGGAGAATTTAATTAGTAATGGTCTCACCAACAATGATAAGAGAGTTTTGTGACAATGTACACTTTTCACCAGCGAAACGCATAAGCCATTTTCAAAAGAATTTATTGCGTTAGTTTAATAGCAATTATTTCATGTAATTTCAATGGTACACGTCTATGGACAAAAAGTTCACCAACACAACAGCAGCCTCTATTGTTGTGTTTCTGTTTACTTGAGTCCACAAGATGACGACAAAGTCAGTACTTTGTTTGGCCATCATTAGCAGCAATTACTGCTCGGCACAGACTGGATAAGTCGGTCCATAATCGGAAACATGCGTTTCAATATTTCCTAGCTACGACTGTAAGATTATACTCTGACATTCCTGTAGGTGATGAACAATACAACCCATTTTATCCTACCTCAAATGTCGTTTTCCGATTGGCTGATCACTACAAAACTGACTTGGTTTCCTGAAACCTGGAAACCATCCGTATAGTGGGTAACTGGGGAATCCAGTTGGTTTCCATTCACTGAAACTGAGTAACTGAGTTTCCAACTAAATTCCATTTTGGATTCTTTGATTTTTGCATTTCTGTAAATGGAAGCCAACAAGAAACTAAGGTTATAGGTTTCTTGTTGGTTTCCATTCCTGGAATTTGCAATTGAAGTTTCATTAAATGGAAACCAACATAAAACCAGAATATGTAGTTTCATGTTGGTTTCCTGTGCACTGTTTGGAACTAAGTAACTTCAAATTTGCAAGTATTTGCCATGTAGTTGACCATCCTGGCACCCAGTTGGTATCCATTCATTGAAACTTCGTAACCTAGTGTCCTCATAGAATCCATAATAGATACTGTAAACTTATAGTTCCGGTAATGGAAACCAACAAGAAACTATGGTCTTGTGTCTACTGTTGGTTTCCATTCCTGAAACTTAGTTTCAAAGATTAACTACTTTCATATCATATTACATTATCAGTAATTGCGTAGAATAATTATGAGGTCTTAAAATTCAAAATGAATATGCCTGGGGAAGGAATAGCAGATTTGCATTTGAAAGAGTACGTAATTTGAAAGATTGCTTAGATGAACAAGAGGAAAGGTTACCCCACATATTTGTTGACGCATCATTCGGTGGATAAAAGCATAATTTTATAATGTGTCTTCAAACTGATGATACAAAAAAAAAAAGAAGACACATTTCATTTCTTCGCATTTTTTTTTTATTCACTATCAACTCATACATGTGATAGGCAGAGAAATGAAGCAGTATCATGTTTCCGCAGCCATACACACAAACTTCACAATAATCATACTAAACATACAAATGGTGGGATAACGGAACAACAACTATAAAATGGCCTTTGTCCAGCGCCGGGCACACTTCTCAGGGTTTTTGCTTTTTTTTTTGCTTGTTTTATTTTTTTTTATTTTGTAGTAGCACCACTCTTTCAAAATTTCTATTTTTCTATCCCCCCCCTCATTTCTTAATAAGTGTACTACCCCGTCGCCGAAATATCTTAGTTGTGCGTGCGACGTTAAATAAAGCAAATAACTACTACTGCCAGGCACACTTAGTCTGGATTGGGATAAATGAGGCAGGTCCAGGTTTCAGTTGTCTGCTTTGCCAAACTGAGGATGAGGCACATTCTTTATCTAAAATTAAAAAATAAAACAATGATAAATATATACAAGAATAACACTTTGAAAGATGAATTGACTCAGCATTTAAAAAGGTACATTGGTCAAACTTTATATTTACATGTTTTTGTTGAACCAAGATGTTGAGTGTGTGGAAAGAACTGATATTGTGGGACACCAAATCACTATACTGTTATAAGT